ACCCAGATCGGAGCCCTCGGCTTGGAGAGGAGGAGGCATGTGGGAGCACCACGGCTTCACTGTACCCACGATCAAGGCCTGTTCCTCTCCGGGCATGATGCACAAGGTCCCTGTCTGCCCCACTGGATTCGGGGCCCACGCAGCCCTCCGATAGAGCCAGGCTGGGGCTGGCAAGCAGAGCAGCCACTAGCAATAGGCCTTCCAGAGCGGGGTTCTGACTGTGCGGCTCTGACTGAGGCCATTCATTCCTAAAGGGGGCGTGTTCATGCCAGGAAGGAGCCAGGCTTCTGACCTGCTGCCTCTGGAACCGGGCCACCCACACCTACCACCCTGAGCCTCCGGAGAAGAACTGGCCCCACGTCGCTGAGACAGATCCCAGAGATGATGATGTCAGGCTCATCCCCTCCTCGGCTCCTTGCAGCGCCATGAAGACGTGCACAAGTCACTACACCCCTTGCGTTTCAGTCTCCTCACCTATGATATGTTAATGTCATCTTATAGAGCCCTCGGGAAAATCCAATGAGAAAACGGAAGAAAAACACTTTGAAAGTTTGAACACACCCGGCCGGTGTGGTTCAGTGGTTGAGCATCTACCTCTCAATCAGGAAGTCATAGCTCCATTCCCAGTCAGCACCTATGCCCAGGTGGTGGGTTTGATCCTCAGTGTGGGGCGTGCAGGAGGCAACCAACCCATCAATGATTCTCTCTCATCATTGATGTTTCTGTCCCTTTCTCTCTGAAATCAATAAAAAATATACATATATTAAAAAATAAGTTTGAGCCAAAACCGGTTTGGCTCAGTGGATAGAGCGTCAGCCTGTGGACTGAAGGGTCCTGGGTTTGATTCCGGTCAAGGGCATGTACCGAGAGGCAGCTGACTGATGTCTCTCTCTCATCGATGTTTCTAACTCTCTATCCCTCTCCCTTTCTCTCTGTGAAAAATCAATAAAGTATATTTTTAAAAAATAAAAAATAAGTTTGAATTCACTTACAAATGTCAGGGGTGGAGGTGCTGCTGTGGAGATCACTCAGCTGCCTGTGGGGATGAGGGGAGAGGGAAGATGTCTCCTGAGGTCTCCCCTTTGCTGAGAGATGCCCCCAGGGCTCCGTTCAGCCCTCCTTCCCCTGTCCAGTTCTACGCCTCCAGCCCCAAGGACCAGGGCACTCCTCCAGGCCTTGACCACATCTGGTCAAGGGATAAAGGTGTGCAGCCTTCCAGGGCCCACATCTTCCTCCCAGGGGTTGCCCACTGTGGAGAGCGGCTACAGCGATTGGACAAGTTCAAGACTCAGACTGATGAGAGGGCACAGTCTTCTCATGGGCACGTGCAAGTCCCAGCTTGGCGGGCAGAGCCCTCCCAGCACAAACAGCTAGAGTTGTAAGCTTGAACCTATGGTCGGAACACGTGGCCCCACGTGCCTGAGTGATATAGGCTGCAAGTAAACAAAGGTTGATCAGGTGCATGTAATTGAGTAGGATCGAAACCCACGGGAATGTTGTAAACATCTTGACCATGCCTTTCCTTTGCCTCGTGGCATCTGCTATAAAACAAAGACACGGCTGGTGGGCACTGTCGCTGTCTCTCCATCAGAGAAGCAGTGTCCCATCCAGACCCAGCTTTCATTCTCTTGTCTGTCTTTTCTCCATCCTTCACCGCCCCCGCTCAGGTTCACCCTTGGCCGAGGGTGGGCAGTGGGCAACCACTCTGGGCCCCTCTCCAGTGCCCAGTGCTGCCATCTGGGAATCGGGCCAGGAGGGCCCAGGTCCAGGAGAGTTCGTTCCGAGTTCACAGGTGAGCTCCATGGCGGGGAGAGAATTCCACGCTGCTGTTTTGCTCACTTGCTTGGGAGCAGTTTAGAACCACAGTTCAGATGAGAGAAGTCTTTCATGCACTAAAAGCAGAAACATTAATGACAATAGTAATTGTTATAACTATGTGAGGAGACTAATAACAGTGGCTCCTGAAAGTGTGTGCTGTGTGCCAGTGCCCAGTTCTCTGCCCATGGCATGAGTCAACTCACTGATCCTCGTTATACTCTGTGTAAAAGGTACTGTCAGTACCCAAGGACCTGGGGCACAGAAAGGACACAAAATGCCCAGGGACCTACAATGAGCACTTAATTTACCAGTGGGTTTTGTTTTTTTTTCTTTTTTAAAATATACTAGAGGCCTAGTGCTTGAAATTCATGCACAGGTAGAGTTCTTAGACCTAGCAGGCAATCAGGGCCAACTGGGGCCCTCCAGGGCCTTCTGTCCCTGACTGCCAGTTACTGGCCAGGGCCTTCCTTCGTTCCGTGCCACCCCTGGTGGTCAGCAGTGCACATCATAGCGAGTGGTCCAACTCCTGGTCAATTGAACTTCCAAGGGGACAATTTACATATTAGCCTTTTATTATATAGGATTGATTTCAGAGAGGAAGGGAGAGGGAGCAAGAGAGAGAAACATCAATGATGAGAGAATCATTGATCAGCTGCCTCCTGCACACCCCATAGAAGGGATCAAGCTCACAACTGGGGCCTATGCCCTTGACCAGAATCAAACTTGGGACCCTTCAGTCCGCAGGCCAACGCTCTATCCACTGAGCCAAACCTGCTAGGGCAACTTACCAGTGGTTTCAATGAGAGTGGCACCACCTGGAAATTGGGAGAGGGGGTACTAAGGGGACAAAACTCTTGCTGGCATTCAGTGGCGACAATGCACAGGGCATCTCCACACTAAGTCCTGGTGCTGCACACCTTTATCCCATGCAAGGCGGCTACACAGCTTCCGTAGGAGTCGTGCCATTCAGAACGGTACTGAGAAGTTTCTATAAGCCTCTATGTTTTTTGTAAGCTTCGTGAATAACTCAATAAGGAAGGAGATGGTTATTAAGGAATAAAGATGCTGTCTCAAAATTATTGAATGATCTACTGCCTGCATTGTCTGCACAATACATTATAACGTTTCAGCTTGTATGTTTGGTTGAAAATGAGTCCAATGCAGGAGGGTCTTGCTGAATAAGTAGACACTGAATGTAACATAAACATTTAACAGAGGAGATCTGAGAGAACCAAACCACATTAAAGCAAAGATACTTGAAATGCGGGGGCTCTCTGGATCTCTTGAGTAACTGTTTTTCCAAGTTATTTTCTATTTTCACTGACCTTTATATTTTTTAAGGGTTTGCAGCCCAGAAGTGCACACCTCTGCTGTCAGGGTTACCTGTGGAGTAGTTTGGGGGCATTGCCTGTGGTGTTTTATCTTTCTCTCATGCTGTACCAGGCTCCACATGCAATTGCTTTGAACCACTTAGCTCACCATTTCTCTTTCCAATCCATCCTCTATTCCCATTACCTATTGGAGATATATGTGCTCCAGGGCCTTTAAGATCCTCCAAATGGAATTTTACCCAAACCCACGGTGGCATTTTAGTTCGGAGATCTGTGTGTCGCGATACGCCACCATTTCCCCATTCCGTGCCCTGGCATAGGGACCGAGGACAGCGCCTGTGCATTCACGCTGCTTCCTTTGGCCCCACGTGGCCACGCCTAACTTGCCTTGCTTTCTCCTCCTACTGAATTATATATTTTTAATTGATTTTTTTTTTTACAGAGAGAAAGGGAGAGAGAGAGTTAGAAACATCAATGAGAGAAACATTGATCAGCAGCCTTCTGCACACCCCCCTCTGGGGATGTGCCCGCAACCAAGGTACATGCCCTTGACCGAAATCAAACCAGGGACCCCTCAGTCCGCAGGCCGACGCTCTATCCACTGAGCCAAACCGGTTTCGGCTCCTCCCTGTTGAATTTAGGTTATAACCCTCTTTCTCTTTTTATATGCACGTACATCCGGTCTGTTCTTGCCCACCTAGCTTTCATTCTTATTCTGGTATTTACTCCCTATTACTCTTGTGGGTTTGTTTTCAATTACATAATGGCTCTAGTCTTCTATTTCTTATAAATTCAAATCTATTTATTATAAGTAGGTGCAAGTAATCTGCCTATGCCATTTATGTCTTCTGGTAAGTCTCACCTGTGCATTTGTATATTGAGAGGCATGGTGTTTGATTACACATTATTTTTCTCTGTTATAACTAGCTTTATTTGTATGAGGGATGTATGTATAATAGATTAGCCATGTCACCTATGAACTTCATTTCAGGGTGGAGGGGACATTATAACAGGGATGCTGTCTCTCATGGGGCTGAGGACCATGGCCCTACAAGGGGAGGAAGGAGTTCGGAGAGATCCCCCCCCTCTCTCTTCAGGCTCAGGGGGAGGAAGGGACACACCCGTGTCTGCTCGCCTGCTAGAACCAGGCTTCCTCAACAGCCCAGCCCTCCCCCCAGGCCAAATTCACCTTTTATCTGCCCTAGCTCAACCCCACAGGTCAAAGCTGGGGAAGAGGAGGCGGAGCCCTTGGGTATGGAACACAGCCTGGCATTCCAGGAGATCAGCAGCAACAGGTTTTACTCAGTTGCTTGGCGCCCCCTAGGGCAGAGCCTGGGTATTAGCACAAAAGAAGCAAACTGTACACAAGATGAATTTCGTGGCTTTTCCAAAGGAAACACAGATTCCAACTCTCCCCGCACACACTCCAGACCCAATCAGGAGCCTGGGCACGCCTCGACCTCCATTCTTTTTGTGAAGTCCACGTGGTGCGGAGGAGCGGCGGAAAGCACTGAACTTGACCTGAAGGCAGGGAGGGTGGGGGAGAGGGGACCGTAGAAGGCAGGTGGGATATGGATGCTCCAGGGGGCCAGCACCTGGAGGGACAGTGTCCCCTGGGAGGAGGCAGAGGAAGGGAGCCTATGACTTTCAACAGCCATTTGTGTGTGTGAGAGTGAGTGTGTGTGTGGGTGTGTGTGTGTATGAGTGAGTGCAGAGGAAGTTAATGATTTACCGAAGGCTCCTTTCACAACTTACCAAGGGTCAGCTTCCCTCGAGCATGTACCAGCTCAGATCTCTGTTCTCCTCGCCCCGGCTGGCGTGAACCTGGGAGCCCCCCAGGCAGCCTGCGGCATGATCTCCGTCACCGAATGGCAGAGTGAGTGTGCGGGCCCTGCGGTGGGGGGGCAGGGCTGCAGCGGGGTGTCGAGGCAAGGTGGGGGCCAGGCTGCCCCTCCCAGCGGGGATCTCTCTGTGGGAAGTCTGTGCCGAGGTGACCTCTGGAGCCATGGCCTGAAGCTGCCGTGTTGGCATCCTCACAGCAGGTGTGGCTCCTCGGCCTGCCGGGGCTGCGGGCTGGCTCAAGGCCTCCAGGAAGCCAGAGGCTGGTGTTGGGGGAACTGGCAGGTTCCACTTGGGGCCCTTAAACCTGGAGTTCTGCCAAAGGTGGGCCCAGGAGGCCGTTGCCCATTCAGACATCTTTCCCCTAAAACTCTCCTAGGGTCTCCTATGGCCCCGGGTCCCTTCCTCCCAGAAAATAAACTCAATGCTGTTCCCCATATCACCATATCCTCTCCCGCTCCTAAACCCTCTCCCCTCGCTTTGGAGAGGACAGTGAACAAGTCTGCAGGTCTGGGGGGGGCGTGGGGAATGGCTCCTTTGATAGATGAAATAGGGAAGGACCAGAGACTGGGATGGCAGGACACAGGCTTTATTGGAGGGAAGGGTACCCCTGCCTGCTGCTTCCCGAGAGAGGGGAGGAAGAGAGCGAGGCCGGGTACAAGCACCTTTAAGGATGGGGGGCAGGGTTTAGGGCACTCAGCACATGCTGATTGGTGATTAAGGACCTAGGGACTTAGGAATCGGGGGCTTAGGGTATTTGGCAGATGCTGATTGGTGGTTCAGTGCTCAGGTATGTCTGGCCGCAGGTGGGGTTTATGTCTGTCCATCCACTGGAGGAAGGGAGGATCTATCATCCGTGAGTTCCATTTGGGGGAGTTCCTTGGCGCCTCGGAGCCCCAGAGCCTCCTCGGTGACCTGGAAGTGTAACACTCATTCACCCACTGGGCAAAGGTGTCCCCTCTGGGGCCACACACCGTGCCGGACGTGGAGTATACAGCAGTGAATGGACATATTACCCCCACTTACCGCCTAGGGGGGTCACAGGAGCTGGTGGAGGAGGCCAGGTGGCAGCAGCGACCTGGTGGGAAGGGACCGATGCTGGGTCTGTTTGGAGGGAACTGCGGAGAGGATTCCCCGACAGGTTGGGTACGGAGTGTGAAACAGAAACGTCAGGCGTGTGTTTAACCTGAGCAGCCGGAAGGCGTGAGTAGGGGGAAGCAGGCACTGTGAGTTTGATGGGCTGGCATTGGGCACCCCGGTGAGAGGTCAAGGGGGTTGTCAGGTACGAGAGTCTGGGACCGAGAGAGGAATTTTGGAGTAGCCCACCTATAGAGGACATTTAAAGGCACAGGACTCTGCCTAAACCAGTTTGGCTCAGTGGATAAAGCATTGGCCTGCGGACTGAAAGGTCCCGGGTTCGATTCCGGTCAGGGGCATGTACATTGGTTGCGGGCACATCCCCGGTAGGGGGTGTGCAAGAGGCAGCTGGTCGATGTTTCTCTCTCATCGACGTTTCTAGCTCTCTATCCCTCTCCCTTTATCTTTGTAAAAAATCAATAAAATATATTAAAAAAAAAAAAAAAAAAAGAATGGAATTCTTAAAGGCACAGGACTCTGTGAGTGAGATCATCTGTGAGATCATCTGGGCACACTTTCCCAGCCTCCCCAGCACTGACATGTGAGGAGCAGGGTAATTCTTAGTTGTGGGCTCTGTCCTGGCCTTATCAGATTCTAGCAGCATCTCTGGCCTCTGCCCAGGATTACACTCACATTCCCAGCTGTGACCGTCAGAGATGTCCCCAGCCTGGCCGGGTGCTCCGGTGGCCGGGTGCTCTGGTGGCCGGGTGCTCCGGTGGCCGGGTGCTCCGGTAGCCAGGTGGCTCTGGTGGCCGGGAGCTCTGGTGGCTGGGTGCTCCGGTGGCTGGGCATCGTCCCGTTGCGGGTTCAATTCCCAGACAGGGCATGTATCTAGGTTGCAGGTTCGAGCGGTTGGGGCATGTATGGAAGGCAACTGATCGATGTCTCTCTCTCTCTCTCTCTCTCTCTCTCTCTCTCTCTCTCTCTCTCTCTCTCTCGCCCCCCTTCCCTCCCCCTTGCTCTTGCTCTCGCTCTCTCATCAAAGCCACCCCTCCTGGTTGAGAACAACTGGTCTTAATATTTCAAAAACTATGGAGAGGAGAGGCCTGAGCCCAGTGTTAAGCCAACGTTTTATTAAAACGTGCTAAGTCGTAGGAAGAACATGCAGAATTTTATGAAAGAAGGAAATGAGGGATCAGATTGAGGTCGGAACAGATGGAGCAGGTCTCTGCGGGGCTGGCATTTGCGTGGAGACCTGAAGGATGAGCATCAGTGGGAGGACACTGCGTGGGCGCAGGCCCCGGGCAGGAGGCTCGTCCTGGGAGCCCGGCGGGGTCGGCTAATGGCGGGCAAGGGGGCAGGGCAGGAGGTGAAGCTGGACCGGCAGTCCCGGGCCAGGCCATGCAGGGCTGTGGGCCCGGGAAATGGGTGTTTGGCCTCAGCCCAGGGGGAGTGGGGAATAGGATTGGACGTATGTTCTCTGAGGCCCCTGGCCGCCGTGTGGAGGAGGGAGGTGAGGGTGGCAGGAGTGAGGCAGAGACTAGCAGGAGGATGCTGGCGGGTCCAGAACGGACCTGAGGTGGCTTGGAATTCGGAAGTAAGAGTGGAAAGAAACAGACTGGCTGGTGTGGCTTGGTTGGTCGGGCATCACTCTGGGCACCAAACGTCAGGTCACTAGTTCAAATTCGGGTCAGGGCACATGCCCGGGTTTCGGGCTCCATCCCCAGTAGAGGGGGTGCAGCAGGCAACCAATCGATGATGTTTCTCTATCATTAATGTTCCTATCTCTCTATCACTCTCCTTTCATTTCTCTCTCTCTCTCTCTCTCTTCTCTCTCTCTCTCTCTCTCTCTCTCTCTCTCTCTCTCTCTCTCTCTCTCTCTCTCCCTCTCAGTAAAACTTTTTTTAAAAGGGAACAGTGACTGAGGGACTAGTGAGGAGACTCAGTGATGGCTGCAAGCTGCCCATTGGGTGGTGGTGACATTTGCATTCATTTGGGGAAAACCGAAACAGGTGCAAATTTAAGGAAAGATCAGCAGCTTAGTTTGGATCCATTGAGTCCAACATGCCTTGAAGAGAGAAAACCATGCAGATTTGCTCCATAGGCAGTTAAACATGAGTTTGGAAGCTCAAACTCTTTATTTATTTACTTATTTATTTGGGCTAAATAATAATACTAAATGTATCGAATAATACATTAAAGGCCAATACCAACATTGTCAGCACACCAGTGATATTTACAGACATTGGGACTGTGTGAGAAAAGAGAATGAGACGTGAACTTGAGCCGAAGCCCTGAGCCATTAGAATCCCTGAACCGAGAGAGAGAAGTGGGAGGAGCTGGCTCAGGAGCCCAGGGAGGCGGGGTCAGACAGCAGGACGGAAACCCACAGCAGGTCCCCGCTGGGTCAGCAGAAAGGCCACTTCCAGGAGGGAGGAGCAGCCACCTGCTGAGGTGAGAACGGACACCTGCACCTTGGGTTTGGGAACGTGGACATCACAGATGGCCAAGGCAAGAATGGCTTCTTTGGAGGAGTCCTGGGGTGGACAGGGGAGGAGGCGGATGGACTGGGTTGATGAAACCAGTTTGGCTCAGTGGTACAGCGTCGGTCCGCGGACTGAAAGGTCCCAGGTTTAATTCCGGTCAAGGGCATGTACGTTGGTTGCAGGCACATCCCCAGTAGGGGGTGTGCAAGAGCCAGCTGGTCAATATTTCTCATCGACGTCTCTAGCTCTCTAGCTCTCTTCCTTCCTCTCTGTAAAAAATCAATAAAAATATAAAAATAAAATAAAAAAGGCCAAATGCCAGACTCCTGGGATCAGACCCTGGTCTGCCAGCTGCCCAGCTGCTGGGCGCCCTGGGCCAGTGACATCATCTCTGAGTGTCTCTGTTCTGAGTGTGAAGTGTGGCTGACAGCGCCCCTCCCTCACAGCCAGCTTTGAAGATTTGGTGAGTTCACGAGACTTAAAGTGCTTAGACCCGTGGTCGGCAAACTACGGCTCTCGAGCCACATGCAGCTCATTGGCCCCTTGAGTGTGGCTCTTCCACCAAATACCATGGCCTGGGCGAGTCTATTTGGAAGTTGTGGCGTTAGAAGAAGCTTAAGGTTAAAAAATGTGGCTCTCCAAAGAAATCTCAATCGTTGTGCTGTTGATATTTGGCTCTGTGGGCTGATGAGTTTGCCGACCACTGGCTTAGGCCGTGCGTGGCACCGTGTGCTGGTTAGTGTTGGTGGCTGTTACTATGAATCACGATTTGGTCACTTTGAATAGTGAAGGAAGGCTCTTTCTCTCCCCATGTTCCTCCTTCCTCTTCCTGAGCATTTCAGTCCTAAGGCCGTTCGGTAGGAAGGGAGGTGGTGTCCAGAGCAGGTGCCGGAGCCCTCACCAGGTGGAAGGAGGCTCACCTGAGGTTGGCTTGGTGCCACGGCAGGGCACAGAGGGTATCCGCAGCGTCAGGCAGACGGTGGAGAGGAACTGAAGAGTGGAGGACCTGGCAGGTGCCACCTTAATCTAGGGCTTAAAGAAACATCACCTGCCCTGGCCAGGGTGGCTCAGTTGGTTGAGCATTGTCCTAGGCACCAAAAGGTTGCCTGTTTGATTCCGGCGGCCAGGGCACATGCCCAGGTTGTTGCATACAGGAGGCAATGGATCAGTGTTTCTTCTCACATGGATGTTTCGCTCCCTCTCCCTTCCTCTCTGTCCAAAAAAATCAATAAAAACATGTTTAAAAAAAGAAAAAGAACATCATCAGTAATTGGCCCAACTGAGAAGAACACAGCATCCCATCTTGCTGCTGTCTCTGCGGAACCAATATCTAGTCACGAGCAAGCATGGGACAAGCCCAAATAGAGGGGCAGATACATGATAACTGACCCAAGGAAAGACGGGTGCGATTCCAGACATGACAGACATAACCCCAAATGCCACCCGTGGCCCCGAACCAGATCCTTTCGTGAGAAATGCGGACGGCTGGTGAGCAGGAAAGCAGTCTGGCTATAGGCGGAAGCAAGGTGTCCATGCTAATTTCTCGGTTTTGATGTCGTGTCCTGGCGAAGGAAAACCACACGGAAGCATTCAGGGGGGTGAGAGAGCCCGTGCAGCTGCTCTCAGATGCTTCAGGGGAAACATGTTGTGTTGGACTTGCAACTTCTCAGCGCCTTTGTGAATGCTGAGAGAGGGAGAGGGAGGAATGAGAAGTGAGTGGTGTTCCCTGGCTCCCAGCACAGCCTCGGGCCAGGAGGACCCTTGCACCTGCTTCAGGAGATAGCACTTCCCTTCCAGGAGCAGGAGGGACCTGGCCCTTGGCTTCCGTTAGTGCAAGCCACAGGGTGGGCTTGGGGCAGCCCAGCTCATCTGCAGCCTTGCAGGCTGTGGGCTCCTCGTGGCAGCCGCTCTGGAGCTGCAGGTTGGGGTGGTTGCTGAAGACAGCAGCCATGCCCTAGCCGGTTTGGCCCAGTGGCTAGAGCATAAGCCTGTGGACCAAGGGGTTCTGGGTTCAATTCCAGTCAAGGGCAAGAACTTCAGTTGCAGGTTTGATTCCCGGCCCTGGTAGGGGCGTGTGTGGGAGGCAACCAATTGCTATGTCTCTCTCACATCGATGCTTCTCTCACTCTCTGTCTCTCCCCCTCCCTTCCACTCTCTCTAAAAATCCATGGAGAAATATCCGCAGGTGAGGATGAAGGCAGGCATCAGCCTGCCATGACAGGGACAATCTCTGGGGTCCCGGTGGTCCCCGCTTCTCAATAGGGGATGCCCTAGAGTTACGGGAGCCTTCCTTCGTCCTTTGCTCCAGCAGGGGGCGCCCTGCCCCTCTGTCTGGATCCTGTAGGACTTCGGACACTTCTGTCCCTCCTGGTGACATGCGCCCCACAGCCCCTCCCTCGGCCATGTCCCTCAGGAGCGGCTCCAGATGGGTAACTGAACTGAAATTGCTAAGCGAGGCCCGGAGAGGCGGAGGAAGGTCTGAGGCCTGAGGAGAGGAACAGCTTCGGACCCTTTTCCGTGATGTTTGTGTCCCCGGTGCCGTGTCCCCCTGAAGACCGGGGCACCGCGTGGCCCGTGGGAAGGCTGCCCGTCACAGGGGCTGTGGGTGGCACCAGTGAGGAGCCGTGCGGGACCAGTGAGGAAAGCAGCGGCGATGCCAGCCAGCACATCGCTGTTTGGAAGAAAGTGTGAGGCGGGAGAAAAGGCGGAGTGTGGAGCTGAGAAGCTTGGACGGGTTCCATGAAATAAAGAAGAGGCTGTTCCTATGTGTTTACAGGATGAGCACGTGGATGTTTTAACAAAACAAAAGGAAAACCTAGTAAAATGTGTACACTGTGTTTCCACACAAGACACCCCCCCCCACACACACACACACACACATACACCCCGGGGGGAGAGAGAAGAGAAGGATGGTCGTCAGACCTGGGATCCATGGCGTATTTTTGTGGCGGTGTGAGCTGAGACCAGATACTTTTATAACCGGCATAGAAACAGGAACCGGTTTGGCTCAGTGGATAGAGCGTCAGCCTACGAATTGAAAGGTCCCAGGTTGGATTCCGGTCAAGGGCATGTACCTTGGTTGCGGGCACATCCCGGTAGGGGGTTTGCAAGAGGCAGCTGATGGATGATTCTCTCTCATCGATGTTTCTCTCTATCCCTCTCTCTTCCTCTCTGTAAAAAATCAATAAAATTAAATTAAAAAAACAAAAACAAAAACGGGAACACCTTGGCCATCCAGACGGAAGAACAGGGCTGTGGTCTTCCCACGTAAAATCATCGTGGCAAAGTAGATGCACACCCAGGCCCTGCTGAGGACAGAGAAGTGACACAGCAGTGGAGGACAGAGCACAGTCTTTGCAATGGCCCACGGAGGCGGTGCGGCCCAGGGTCCCGGGCCCTCAGAGACGAGATTCAGACAGGCCCTGCCGAGAGGAGGGACAGGAAACAAGCCCGGGGTGGTCAGAAGCAGGCGGAATCGGCCATCGATTTGGCGGGATGCTGGCAGGTGGCCATTCTGCCGACAGACCGGACGTGGCGCCGGGCCCTCACGGAATCCGGCTCTGCCGAAAGGGAGACAACAGGACCGGCGCTTCTCCGGATGACAAACTGAGTGCGGCTTATGATGGGAACGATAAAGCTCATCTCCATCTTTGAAAGAAGATCTTTTTTTAATTATTATTTCTTTATTGATTAAGGTATCACATATTTGTCCTCAACCCCCCATTTCAATCCCCCACACACACTCATGCCCCCACCCCCCTATTGTCCTTAACCATTGGGTTAGGCTCCTATGTGTGCACATAAGTCCTTTGGTTGATCTCTCCCTACTTGGAGCGCCGACCTGTACACCAAAAAGGTTGTGGGTTCGACCCCCTGTCAGGGCACGTTAGCAATACCTCTAAAAGCAATAAACAGCTGAAACCAGTTTGGCTCAGTGGATAGAGCATTGGCCTGCAGACTCAAGGGTCCCGGGTTCGATTCCAGTCAAGGGCATGTACCTTGGTTGTGGCCACATTCCCAGTGGGAGCGTGCAAGAGGCAGCTGGTCGATGTTTTTCTCTCTCGTCAGTGTTTCTAACTCTCTATTTCTCTCCCTTCCTCTCTGTGAAAAGTCAATAAAATACAGTTTTATAAAATAAAAGCAATAAACATAACCTCGGGTGAGGGTTTAAAAAATAATAAATAATGATAAGAGATTACAAAACAGAAATAGCAGGTGTTGGTGAGGATGGGGAGACACGGAAACCTTTGTGCCCTGCAGCTGGGAAGATAAAATGGAGCACCTGCTATGAAATGCAGTATGGTGGTTCCTCAGAAAATTGAAAACAGAGCTTCCATTGGCTCCAGCAATCCCACCTGTGGGTGCAAAGCAAAAGCATTGACATCAGAGTCTCGAAGGGACATTTGTTCCCCGTGTTCATAGAAGTAAGAAGGTAGAAGCAACCCACGTGTCCATTCCGCAGATGAACAGATAAACAAAATGCAATGTATGCATCCAGTGGATTATTCCTTCAAAATAAGGGAATTCTGACTGGCACACGCTGCAACACGGATGACCCTTGGGGACATTGTGGTACATGAGATAAGCCAGTCACAAAACGGCAAATGCTGTGTGATTCCTCCCCTGGAGCAGTCAGATCCATAGAGGCAGAAGGCAGCGAGGAGGGGCCAGCAGCCGCGGGAGGAATGAGCAGTTCGGGCTCGATGGGTACAGAGTTTCAGTTTTGTCAGATGAAGAGAGTTTGGGAGATGGATGGGGTGGTGGTAACACAACAATGCGGAGGTACTGAATACCACTTACAAATTGTCAAGATGGCACATGTTACGTGTACTTTGTCACAACATAAAGTAAAACTTCAAGTTAGTTCCATTTAAAAATGAAGCGATACAGCTCTGGCCGGGGTTGCTCAATGGACAGAGAGTTGGCCTGCAGACCAAAGGATCCTGGATTAGATTTCAGTCAAGGGCGCATGCCTGGATCACAGGCTCATTCCCCACTAGGGGGCGTTCAGGAGGCAGCCGATCCATGATTCTCTCTCATCAATGATATTTCTATCCCTCTCCCTTCCTCTCTGAAATCAATTTTTAAAAATCTTAAAAATGAAGCAATTCAATGAACCATCATTTGCCGACTCTCGGAATGGCAAAGATAAATAAAATGAACAATTCTGTGTAACGGAGAGGGTTTAAGAAAAAGAGAAACTTCACCTCCTGTTGTTGTTACAACTCTTCCTGAGGGGAGCAGTCTGAAACATGTATCCAGGTGTCCAACATGTAGCCCTTGACGCAACCAGGGCCTGAATGTCCTGCCCTTGGGTGCTGGCCACCCTGGCTGTGAGCAAATGCCTGCAGCTGCAAAGAGCGACGCCCTGAGGCGCACTGCCACCAGGGGGCGCCGCACAGCCCAGCGCACAAGGACTGCAGGGCCACTGTGGCTGCAACCATAGGCTCGGGGTGGGTGGTGGGGCCCAGAGGTGAGGCTGCAGGAGGGAGGGAGCAGAGGGAGGAGGTGCTGGCCGGGGTGTGGACTCCAGGAGGACAGACGAGCACACAACTGATGAATGACTTCTGCTTTTCCAAACCAGAGTGACGGCTCTTCACCAGAAAGACAGGGCAGGGGCAGTTAGAGTAAGGTGACCAGACGTCCTGCTTTTGGCGGGACAGTCCCGATTTTTAACCATTTGTCCCTCATTCGGAGGCATTGGGACAAATGGTTAAAAATCGGGACTGTCCCGCCAAAAGCAGGACGTCTGGTCACCTTAAGTTAGGGACAGTTAGGAAACAGGAGGGCCAGCCTCTTGAGAAACAGGCAGGACAGCTGGGTGGTTTCCAGACCCTTTTGGGCTGGGGGCCATGAGTAGCCAGCGGTCCCTTCTGCGAAGGGTGGCTTGGGCCTCGGCAGCTCCCAGCAGCCACGCAGAGGGCTGCTCTGAGGACAGAAGGCCGGAAGCACAGGACTGCTCTCAGGAGCTCAACGATCTTTGGTGCTCATCCTTCCCTTCCTGTCCCATCATTCCCCCGAGCACAGAGCTCCCCAGAGGGCACCTGCCCAGGGGTGCCCCCAGAAATCCCAGGCCCCGCCTCTCCCCAGAGCCCCTCCCACCACGGCCCCCTTGCCTGTTGCAGAGATTGGCGTGGGCATCACCGGCTTCGGCGCCTTCTTCATCCTCCTGGGAGTGCTCCTGTACTTCGACTCCGTGCTCCTGGCCTTCGGGAACGTGAGTGCCCCTGCCCTGCGGACCGACCGTCCCAGCCTCCCCGAGGCCTCCATTGCTGGGGCCAGCCCTACGTGCCTTCCCCTGTGGCCATCAGGGGTCCGGTGCCAGCAGCCTGGGCCGGGAGGGCGGCTGGGGCCGGACAGCAGGCCCCGCCGGGCAGAGGATCCGAGGGCCGGGATTCTCACGCCGGCTCTGGGCCAGGCTCCGGAGAGCCGGGAGGGGTGAGACCCTGTCCCTCCATGGGGCTCCCCCCCAGCTAGGGATGGGGGTGTCCCAGGAACACACAGGCCTGGGGACGGAGGCAGAGGAGCGGCAAAGTCACCGTGAGACCAGCCCATGCCATCTGAGCGGGCGGCGGGGAAAGACCAGCCGGGGAGCATGAGAGGGGTTGGGAGAGGAAAGCGTGTGCTGGGTCGGAGAAAGCGCGCTCAGGGGCACGGAACATGCTGGAAGGGAGTGGACAGGAGCCTGGGCTCTCTTCGGGGCTCGTCAGGAGCCACACTGAAGGGCCAGATGCCGGAGCGGGGGAGTGCCTTCCTGCCCGCCCCACGCAGCTTTGGGTGCGGCTGCCTCACCTGGGCCGGCCTGGTGCTCCCCTTCGGACCACGGAGAGAGAGAATCTCTGTCCACCCGCCTTCCCTGGAGGTGTGGAGGGATGTGCAATCAGAATCGAAGCGCTGGTTGGGATCCAAGCACTTGGTGGCATTGGGTGAGAAGAGAGAGAACGCCACGTTCCCCTGGTGCAGCCCCTGCCGCTGGGCAGCTTTGTTTCCAATCAGCTCAGCACTCAAGGCGGGGTCACCCTGCAATCCGCCCTCCGTGAAGAGCTAGCAAGTCCTGCCCCGGGTGTGAGGGTGGCTCCAGGCGGGTGGGGGAGGCTGGCCCCTGGCTGGGGGAGAGGGGGGAGGGGGACTGGCCCCTGGCTCTGGGAGGGGTGAGGAGGGCTGGCCCCTGGCTGGGGGGGAGGGGGGGAGGGGGACTGGCCCCTGGCTCTGGGAGGGGTGAGGGGGGCTGGCCCCTGGCTCTGGGAGGGGTGAGGGGGGGCTGGCCCCTGGCTCTAGGAGGGATGAGGGGGGCTGGCCCCTGGCTCTGGGAGGGGTCAGGGGGGTTGGCCCCTGGCTCTGGGAGGGGTGAGGGGGGCTGGCCCCTGGCTCTGGGAGGGGTGAGGGGGGCTGGCCCCTGGCTCTGGGAGGGGTGAGGGGGGCTGGCCCCTAGCTGGGGGGGGGAGGCTGGCCCCTGGCTCCGAGGGGGGCGAGGAGGGCTGGCCCCTGGCTCTGAGCGGGGAGGCTGCTTGAATTCACGCTCCTCTCCCTCCCCGCCAGCTGCTGTTCCTGACTGGCCTGTCCCTCATCATCGGCCTGAGGAAGACGCTCTTTTTCTTCTTCCAGCGGCACAAGCTCAAGGGCACCAGCTTCTTCCTGGGGGGGGTGGTGGTGGTGCTCCTGCGCTGGCCCCTCCTGGGCATGTTCCTGGAAACCTACGGCTTCTTCAGCCTCTTCCGGTGAGTGCAGCCCGGCCCCCGGGCCCGGCCTCTGAGTGGCTGTGCAGAAGCTGACCTGCCCCGCAAGAGATGGGAACCGTGGGCGGATTGGGAACGGGGAGGAGGCCCTAGCTGGTGTGGCTCAGTGGATAGCGTGTCACCAGCGTCGTGAAGGGTCCCGGGTTCGATTCCAGTCAAGAGCACATGTCGGGGTTGCAGGCTCCATCCCCAGTAGGGGGTGTGGGGGTTCTCTCTCATCTTGAAGTTTCTATCTCTCTCTCTCTCCCTTCCTCTCTAAAATCAATGAAGACATATTTTTAAAAATTAAAATAAAAACGGGGAGGGGCATCGGACAGACATTGGAAAGACCCCTCCAACAGTAGGTTGAGGGGTAAAGTGAAGGGAGCAGCACACATGGAGCACTGCTGTGCCCCTCTCCGTGCCTGTCACCAGGAGGACACGCAGGGCTCACTCCCAAGTGGAATGATGGGGGGGGGGGGGCAGTGAGCTGATGTTTGCTAGGCCCCCGATGTGCACCATCATCACCTCACTTTGCCATCTCCACCGCCCATCCTGGGCTGTTCTCTGCAGAGGAGGAAGCCAGCACTGAGAGGCTGCCCTGCCCCGGCCTCACAGGCAGGGGGCAGAGGATCTCACCCGGGCCTGTGCCCTGACTGGGAATGGAACCATGACCTCCTGGTTCATAGGTCAGCGCTCAACCATTGAGCCACATGGGCTGTGCTGGGACTTCATTCTGAACTATTCCACTTGGCCGCCTCTAAAACACGGGGCCCCCAGTGCCCAGGGGCCCCTTCTCTTGGGAGCCAAAGCCTGTCTGTGGACCTCAGCCTTGCTACCCTCTATCTCCCTGCCCCCCACCCCCACCCCCAGGCCATCACTGACCCCTCCCCCCACCCCTCTGTTCTAGGGGCTTCTTCCCTGTGGCCTTTGGCTTCCTGGGCAATGCCTTCAACATCCCCTTCCTGAGTGAGGTGAGTGCATGTGCCTGTGGCTCAGTGGTGGGCCCCGGGGTGGCGGGAGCACACGGAGTTGGGAAAACTGCTGCCCCAGGTCCAGTAGACCCGCCCCAGCTCCCCGGGCACTCCCTTCCCCAGGCTGGCCTGCCTCCGCTCCTCCCCCCCCCCCCCCCCCCCGCTCTCCTCCATCGGACAAGGCAGTGAGGCTGAGAGGGCCCGAGCAGCTGTGCCAAGGAATAGGAACAGAGGAGGGATGGGGACAGAGGAGGGATGGGGATGGAGGAGGGATGGGGATGGAAGAGGGATGGGGATGGAAGAAGGATGGGGATGGAGGAGGGATGGGGATGGAGGAGGGATGGGGAAATGGAAGAAGGATGGGGATGGAGGAGGGATGGGGATGGAAGAGGGATGGGGATGGAAGAAGGATGGGGATGGAGGAGGGATGGGGATGGAGGAGGGATGGGGAAATGGAAGAAGGATGGGGATGGAGGAGGGATGGGGCTGGAGGAGGGATGGGGCTGGAGTAGGGATAGGGCTGGAGAAGGGATGGGATGGAGGAGGGATGGGGCTGGAGGAGGGATGGGGCTGGAATAGGGATAGGGCTGGAGAAGGGATGGGATGGAGGAGGGATGGGGATGGAGGAGGGATGGGGATGGAGGAGGAATGGGGATGGAGGAGGGATGGGGATGGAGGAGGGATGGGGATGGAGGATGGCGGCTTTTAATAGCTCTTTATTATAGCCAAAGTAACAGATACTGAGAGAGTCTAGGGGACCCAGCCAGAAAGTGACAGATTTTGGGGGGAGCTGGCTGGTCTGGGCCCCGGATGTGGAGAGGATGTGTGACAGCTAATGACAGCAAGGAATGCTGTAGCAGCATGTCCTCTCCTTGGGGCAGGCGTGGGCAGTGGTCCCCCGTGTCTCTCCCTCCCCTATCTCCCGCCTTCCCCCCCCCCTCCCCACCGCGCTCTTTCTCGGAACCATCTGACAGAACCTGGGCTCTCTGAGACGCCCAGCGAGGCCCTTCAGCCAGCACCCGGCTCGCCCGCCAGCTGGGCACATCCCCGCAAGCCCCTCTCCGTGTCTGCCCTTGGCACAGCTCCCCCCTCGAGGCCAGCTCCTAATCACCCTGACATTGAGCCTGCTCTCCACTCTTTGTCTGGAGTAATGACTCTTGGCTCCCACAGCTGTTCCGGAGGTTCCAGGGCTCCAGCTCGATGGTCTGAGCCGCAGAGATGAGCTCCTTGAACTTGGATCACTGGCCGAGGGGGCTGGAAAGGAAATGGGGCCACCCTCTCAGGCCCCCCCCCTCCTGCGCTGACGCACTCCCCGCGCCCCCGGGCCTCTCCGCGTCCAGCAGGAAGGATGGCGCTAGGTGACTGACCTCAGATTCCCTTGTTGGGAGCAGAGCTGCAGGGCCCCACAGTGCTGGGCCGGGGGCCGGGACCACACCCCGCTCTGTATGGGAGGAAAAGCAAAGATTAAAGCCCACGCTGTGTGTGTGTGTGTGTGAGAGAGAGACTCGGGGTCAGTGCCTCGGGCCTGTGAAGTCTTCTCCTGACTCGGGGCGTCTCACTCTACAGGGCACAGGGCAGGCCGCTCTCAGAGGCTCGTTTTCCTCCTGAGAGTGACAAGGTGTGTGCAAGCCCTGGGAGCAGGAGGCACCGGACGCGTGACGGTTGAGATCCTGTCCGGCAGGAAGTGCTTCTCAGAGCCTGTGCTGGGAGAGCTTCCTGCCTGAGGGTAGAGTCAGCCTCCGCCTCAGAGCCCTAGGCCCCGGTCGGCAAACTGCGGCTCTCGAGCCACATGTGGCCGTTTGGCCCGTTGAGTGTGGCTCTTCCACAAAATACCACGGCCTGGGCGAGTCTGAGTTGAAGAAGTGGCGTTAGAAGAAGCTTGAGTTTTAAAAAATCTGGCTCTCCAAAGGAATGTCAATCGTTGTGCTGTTGCTATTCGGCTCTGTGGCCTGATGAGTTTGCCGACCCCTGGCCTGGGCTGACAGGAGGAAGAGGCTCTGTCCCAGGAGCCCAGGTCCAAGGGTAAAGGTCATGATCGCGGGCCCAAGAACGAGACCAGAGTTCCCCGCGACGTGTACAGAGGGCGTCCCCCAGAACGCACACGCTCTGACAGCTGAGAGCCGTGGGATGCAAATGGACTGAGTTTCAACCAACACTGCCGGCCCTTGGAGCGTGTGTCCGTCTGTGGGGACACCTGCACCTAGGAAATGTCTGGGAGGCGTCCGAGTCTGTGCGAGCAGAAAAGTGGGCAGTGAGGGTGCAGAGGGAGGGAGGCCTGTCCCTGCCTTCCACGTGGGAGCGCAGCAGTTCCAGATGCCGTGGTCACGGTGCCACGCCCCCGAAGGCGAGTCCTGAGAGTCACTTTTTTTTTTTTTTTAAGAAATATTTTAAATGTATTTTTATTGATTTTTTTACAGAGAGGAAGGGAGAGGGATAGAGAGCTAGAAACATTGATGAGAGAGAAACATCGACCAGCTGCCTCTTGCACACCCCCCACCGGGGACATGCCCACAACCAATGTACATGCCCTTGACCAGAATCGAACCCGGGACCTTTCAGTCCGCAGACCGACACTCTACCACTGAGCCAAACCGGTTTCGGCGAGAGTCACTTCTTACCTTCCCACCGCACTTCCCTTCCTGGTGAAAGGCTCTCCCACCCAGGCCCAGCGTCTCAGAGCAACCCTGTGTTCTGGGCGCTTAGCTGCCCACAGGTGTTACCCATCTGACTGTTAAATCCCTCCCAGAGCCCTGAGCTGCGCAGTGCTGTCGCTGTTTGGGGGAAGAAAGATAAAAGGAGGGAGTGAAGAGGGAGGAGGGAGGGGGAAATGAAGACCCCCCCTCCCAGTTGCAGATTATAGCCGAGGAGCCCCCTCCTGGTCTGAGCCCCAAGACTAGCCTGCAAGCCTGGGAGCACTGGGGGAACTGGAACCCCTAGTGCCACTGTGCCCATCTCCCGCCCTCCTGCTTTTCACGCTGCCCACTCCACTCTGGGCGTGCCACCCTGGGCGTGCGCGTGGCTCCTGTCTGGAGAGGGACCTTTTCATGCTGACCCCCACCACATGCCTCCTCACACAGGCCACTTCCACGGTGATTACGCACAGTGGGCCTCCCGGTGAGCGGGTTTGGGAGGAGGGGGAGGAGGAGGGGAGAGGGAATCAGAGAGCCGACCTTGCAAGCTCTGGAGAGGGTGGGGGAGGCTCACTCCAGTCGTGACAGCCAGGGGGCGGGAGACAGCAGCCCGCTCTCCAGGGGGGTCTGCGGAGGAGGGAGAGGGAGATCTGGGGCCGGGACCGGGAGACGTCACCTGGGCTTTATAAAAGGCGCAGGGATGTGATCGGGGCGCTGGCAAGAGCGAGCCCAGCTTCCCGCCCTGCCGGCGTTCACCCACCAGACACCCTGAGAGCTCCCACCCGCCAGGACCCAGGACAGAGCCAGGTAGGTGCGCTGGGCATCATCACGCAGGGGGAGGGTCTGCCCAGGCTCAGGAGGCTCCCCAGACGGAGCAGGAGCTCAGTTCTGGCACTGACGGAGGTGCCCCAGGCAGGGGAGTGGAGCTGGTGGGCCTGATGACAAGGCCGGCCAGGTTACTGGCGAATGCCTCCATCTGCATGTTATTTGTGAGGCCCGGACCCTCTCAAGGTCTCCTCTCGGGCAGGAATGGCTGCAGTTCGTTGTGATTACTGCCTGAACTCTGTGGCTGGGATCAGGGGCCACGGGAGCCTTCAGGGGGAAAGCTGGGGAGCCCCTTAGGGCGCCTGGGCTCAGCAGGGCTCCTCTGAGCTCCTTCTCCAACTTGCGGATGGCAGATGCGAGCCCAGCCAAAGAGCCTCTGGCGCTGCTAGGAAGGCAGCCCCAGGAAGGGAGCCACCCCACTTCAAATGCTTCCCAGACACCTGGGATTTCTGCTCTCACAAGGCTCAACAGCCGGTGGGGGCCACAGAGGACGGCCACCGGGGGCCCTTGGGAGCCGATGGCTTTTTTCTAAGCAATTCATTTCACGTGTGAAGAGTTGGGAGCACGTGTGTGTGCACATGAGTGAGTGAGTGTGTGTGTGTGTGTGTGTGGGAATGAGCAGCAGGAAACGCAGAACGCTCGCATGGCACCATGGTGCGTGCTGGGAGGAGGCAAAGGGGAGAGGCCAGGGGCGCACACAGCCTACCCGCTCCCCCTCCCTCCCCACCTGCTTCTGCAGAGCAGCCGAAGGCTCCCTCTGACATGCTCCACACATTCCTCTCTGCCTGGGACCCTCCCCTTCGAGGTGAGGCCCCTGGGGGCCCTTCCTTACACTCCATGCTATCCCTCCAGCAGAGGCCCCTCCTGGCAGTCATCTGCCTGACTCTCACTCAGACACTCAGCGCAGGTGCCACCCCCTGCAGACACCCGCCTGGACCCTCCAGACCCCTTTATACTGACTGACTCATCTTCGGCCTGTCGCTCACAGTGTTCTCTTCCAATGGGCTGCTCAGGACTCAGTGTCTTGTCTGAGGATGCCAGTTTCTTGAGATGGGGAAGAGGGCTTGCAGCAAGTCTATGTCTGAGCACCTGTGCTCCCTAGCCCCTAGCCCCTGTGTCTTAGCACCTGTGCACCTAGCACCTAACACAGCACCCAGTCGGTACTCAAGAAATGATTTCCAAATCATTTCTTGGAATGAAATGACCCTGTGCACCCACAGTCTGAAGCCACACAAAATTGGTTTTACCCTCGTCTCTCTAATGAGTGGGTCCTGCCTCTGCTCCCTGCCCTTTAAGGCAGCTGCAGGAGGCTGCGTCTGGGTTCCACAGAGTCAGAGTCTGCAAGGACAAGTGGCCATCTGTGGGGACACTCGGTGGCCAGGCGGACCCAATGGTCCTATTTTACAGGCGGGCACTAAGGCCGGAGATGGGGGTGACTGGCTCCTGTCTCGTGGGGAGGGTGGGCATCGCTGGGGCCAGATCCAAGGGCTTCTGACCCCATTTCTGGATCCTTCCCCTCCAGGCCATGCCGGAGTCCTGGAGGGAGCAGGAGGGAATGGGGTGTGGGGGCGAACAGGGGGATTGATGGGGCTGGTAGGCACACAGGGGCCCCTCACTCCACCCCAGAGTGGCTTGGGGCCTCCGATCTGGCAGCCACACCCTTTTGGCTCCACCTGCAGCTCTCCTGCCTCGTCATTAGTTTGTTTTTAATCGTGTTTGCTGGACCACCTCCAGCTATCTGATGACTTTTTCTTTTCTTTTTTAATATCTATATATAGATATAGATATAGATATAGATTTTTTTTTAACAGAGCGGAAGGGAGAGAGATAGAGAATTAGAAACATCAATGAGAAAGAAACATGGATCAGCTGCCTCCTGCACACCCCCTTCTGGGGATGTGCCCGCAACCAAGGTACATGCCCTTGACCAGAATCGAACCTGGGACCTTTCAGTCTGCAGGCCGACGCTCTATCCACTGAGCCAAACCGGTTTCGGCTGATGACTTTTTCAAAGAGAAATTAGACTTGGGAGCTGGACGAGATGGGAGGGCGCAGCAGAGGGTAAAGGGAAAGAGATTGGAGGGAGGGTCAGAGTGAGCACACAGCTCCCACCCCAACAGCCCACATTCTGAGGTCGATTCCATGCCGACCCTCTCGGAGCCGGCCGGAAAGACAACGAGGAGACACGTGACCTGTCAGGTCAGGAGAAGGCTTTTCTCTTCCCTGGATCCGAGGCAGTATGACACCTCGGGCTGCTGGACCACCTCCAGCTATCTGATGACTTTTTCTTTTCTTTTTTAATATCTATATATAGATATAGATATAGATATAGATATAGACTTTGGTCCACGAGAGAACAAGATGACTGCCGTTCCTCCCTGCTCATGAAAAGGGGAAAGAACCCCGTTTCTATGGCAGCAGGGCGGAAACGGGCCAGGTTTGAGCAGCACGTGCTAACGGGGAGAGAGGAGCACCGGGTCTGGGTGTCAGCAGAGCTCAGCACGGAGGGAAGTGCCAGGCTCCGGGGAGAATGTCTGGACCTCGGTCCTCCGTGAGGTGGCGCTCCTGTGCCCTCTTCACTTCACCCCTCCCTGCTCACTCCTGCTCATCACTCTCCCTCCTCATCTCCCCAACATTCCTCTCAAGCAAACCTGAGGTGCTGGCCACTTTCCACCCGGAGCCATCCTGCCCCTCCCACCCAGAGGGATCCTTCCCCCAGGAAGCCCTCCCTGATGCCCCTCACCTAGAACGAGTCCCGCTTTGACTCTACTGTGCAAGTGGTGCCGGTCCCATCTCCATGGCCTGTCTGTCGGGACGCATCCTTCCATCTGGCTCCTCCCTTCCCCGTGGGCTCTGCCCCAGCTCCCAGCTCCCAGCCCTGACCTGTGCCTGACCTCTCCCTCCTCCCTCCCTCTGCCTCGGCCTCAGGGCACTGCCAGGACTTGCACGTCTCACCAGGATGAACCTGCTGGCTTCTTGGCAGCTGGTGCTTTTCCTCTGGGCCACCTCCTTCAGGGACTCCTTAGAAAAGGCGGTGCCCGCGGAGAACCCGGGAGCCACAGGTACGCCTTATCTGGGGGAGAGGCCGGGAGGGAGCCAGAGAGGGGTTTCACAGTGAGATGGACCGCCCGTTTCCGATTCCGGGGAGATCTGCGGGGAAGGAATCGGCTATGCAAGCTTCGCTCATCAGAGACCCCAGGCCCTTGATTTGGACTTTGGGGGGCGGGGCGCGAGAAGACCCTACACAAAAGCACAAATCCTGCCCACCTTATGGGTTACTATGGTACCGATGAGCTGGAGAAACTGAGGCCCAAAGAAGTAAAGACGTCCCACACACACTGCAGGAGCCCAGCGGGTGCGGAGCTCCCTGCGAGGTGTCTCTGAGTGGCCTAAGGCTGCTTGGTCAGCTCTCCGGAGCAGCAGGAGCTGCAGCTCAGCCTCTCGGGACCGCAGTGCCTCTGGCTGCAGAGGCTGCGGGACGCGGAGCAGGGAGCGGACTACAGAGGCGCTCTCACTGCGCCCTGAACTCGCCCAGCCCCGGGAGGACGCAGCCCCGTGTCCTTTGCCAGGAGTGTGTTCTCTCCCGGGTCCAGATGTCCTTTCTGGGTGAACAACGAGTGTGTTGGCTGTTTGGGGGAAAGGCTTTCGGGGAGGCACCAAAGGCCGCCTGAGAAGTGACTCTGCTGCCAGGATAGCAGGCGTGGCCGGGAGGGAAGCCTCCGTCCCTTCCCACCGGAGCCAGGCCCCGGGGACCTCCTAGGACCGTGGTTGGCAAACTGCAGCTCTCGAGCCAAGGACGGCTCTTGGGCCCCTTGAGTGTGGCTCTTCCACCAAAATACCACGGCCTGGGCGAGTCTGTTTTGAAGAAGTGGCGTTAGAAGGAGTTTACGTTTAAAAAATGTGGCTCTCCAAAGAAATGTCCATCGTTGTTTGGCTCTGTGGACGAATGAGTTTGCCGACCACTGGGCTAGGAAGATGATCACGAATTCTGGACATGCCCCCACCCCTCCAAGGTCTGCCGGGCCGTGAGGAGTGGGCCTCAGAGCCAAGCAGCGCCGCCCACTCGCACACCAGGCCTCCTGCCCACTCGTCTCTCACGACGATGGGCTGGGGCCACTGGGTATTCGGAGCTGGTTCATGTGAAGGGCCTTCCAAGTTAGCCTTGTTCACCCTCAGGATGAAGAGGGAGATCACTCCCACCTGGGGAGGTGACCCAGAGAAGTTTCTGTTTTGTTTTTGTTTTTTATTGATTTTTTTTTCAGAGAGGAGGAGAGAGGGACAGAGAGCTAGAAACATCGATGAGAGAGAATCATCGATCAGCTGCCTCCTGCACACCACTTATTGGGGATGTGCCCGCAACCAAGGTACATGCCCTTGATCGGAATCGAACTTGGGACCTTTCAGTCCACAGGCCGACGCTCTATCCACTGAGCCAAACCGGTTTCAACAATTTCTGCTTTTCACCGAGCTCTGGCATCGCTTATGTAGGGAGCTACAGTTACTGGGAGCTGCGGGGGCACCTGGTCTTAGCTCCCCTTTCTTGATGTCTGCAGCTACAAGCTTTTCATTCGCTTTTCTATTGTTAACACGCACTTACTGGGGCGCTATTATGTGCCAGGCCCTGTGCCAAGCACTCTGAGAGGCGAGATGAGTGAGCAAGACTCTCAGGCCAAATGGGGAGCCTGATGCAGCACCCCGACAGAGGACCAGGCCGTGAGCCAAGCTGAACCCCTAGCAATCCCCTTCGTGTTCTTTCTTTCGAGGCCCTGCCCCATTTGGTTCCTAAAAGGAAGTAATTTCACAGGAAAATTATTGCAGATAACTCTGGACAACATTCTAAATCAAAGCTGTGTTGAAAGGGGGAGGAGCCAATGGAAAGCTGTGTTGAAAGGGGGCAGAGCCAATGGCCTACCCACCAGCTCAGATGCTGGTGCTCCCAGCCGCCCTTGAGCTCTGAGCTCCCTGGAGGCCAAAGAACAAAGGGAAAGTCTGGGATGGGCTGCTGGGGGGTGTTGGAGAGGTTGGCCCAGCCCGGCCTCACGCAGTCTCTCCCTGTGGCTCTGTCCTAGGCCAGCAGCTCGGCCCCCTGGCGCTGGGGGTCTCCGGGGAGCAGAGCCGGCGGTGTGCGGTCTCTGAGAGTTTGGAGGGGTCCGGGCCAGCCCTGTACCAGCCGAGCAGCCGCCGCCGGGTCCCTCCGGCTCCGGGCGAGGCGCTGGTGCGGCAGGCGAAGGGCCTGTCTGCCTTCAACTGGAACTCCTTCGGCCTGCGCTATGGCCGGCGGCAGGCGGGCGAGCCGGGCCCCCCGAAGGCGCGCAGGGGCCAGGGACGCCTGACCACGGACTGACCCGCGCTCCGGGCACGCGGGGCCGGGCAGTGGGAGGACGCCTGGAGCTCCGGTCCTGAACCAATAAAGGAAACGCTGCCAACTCACCTGGGTGTGATTGATTCAGGGCTAATTTTTGCAAGGCCGTTCCCTTTCTCTCCTCAACGGGCTCCAGCTGGCTCTAAGACGGCAAGGGCAGAGGTGGGGAGGGGCCAAGTGCTATCCACACACACACCCAGACCAATGCTTCTAGCGTGTGCGCACACATGTTCCCCCTCCCCCTGCTCCCCCTCCTCCAGTAGAAGAGTGATTTTTATTTTGTTATATATTTTATTGATTTTTTACAGAGAGGAAAGGAGGATAGAGAGTTAGAAACATCAATGATAGAGAAACATCAATTAGCTGCCTCTTGCACACCCCCTACTGGGGATGTGCCCGCAACCAAGGTACATGCCCTTGACCGGAATCGAACCTGGGACCTTTCAGTCCGCAGGCCGACGCTCTATCCACTGCGCCAAACCGGTTTCGGCTAGAGTGAAGATTTATAAAATAATTGCAGAGAAGTCCAAGTCAGATGCTGCTTGGATGCTTAGCAATATCAAATTTCTGGCCCAAAAGAAAGAGCCGTCTATGAACCAGGAAGCAGGCCTTCACCACAAACCACATCTGCGGACACGTTGACCTTGACCTTGACCTTGCCAGAACCACGAGAAAAAAAAATGTTTGTGGTTTAGGTTCCCCAGATAAAGGACAGGTCCGGCATCCCACACCTTCTTGGGTAGGAAGAACGTAACGCAAAACTGGTGACGACTGGGGTTCGGGAAACGGAGGCTTGTCCCTGTCAGGAAGCAGCTGAAGTCGGAAGAAATGGTGTCTGTTCGGTGGAAGGCCCACCTCCCCAAGACCCAACAACACCCTTGTTGGCATAATCCCATGGCTCAGAGCGACCCTCTGGCTGCCCCAGGCCAGTTCCTGCGGCTCCGGTGGAGAGCACGGGGCAGACACGCACCCTGTGGGTGTAAGAGGTCTGGTCCTTGGATGGGGAGCTACATCCCGGGAGCGGCTGCGAGAACCGCTCCTCCTGCCCACCAGCTGTGGCAGGTGTGGCAGCGGCAACAGCTTCATTAGAAGGTGCCAGAGAGCCAGCCCCCCCCACCCACAACAGTGGGCGCACTCAGCTTTCTCCTCCTGAGCCCGTGGGCAGGCAGGTTAACCAAGAGCCTGGCCAGGGGAGGAGGGGGCTGCACACCAGGCTCTGGTGTCCAGGGGCTGCAAGTCCCCAAGCCTGCTGCCTCTTCGCCAGGGTCTGCAAGATGCCAGGGACACACTGCAGCTGTCTTGGAGCTTATATTCTCTGAGTGAGGGGGAAGGGAAGGAAGAGGGGTTAAACAACCAAATAAATAGAGATGATTTGAACAGTGACCCTCCCCCCCAAAAACAAAATTCCTATAAAAATTCCTGGACGGCCGAAGCCAGTTTGGCTCAGTGGTAGAGCATCAGTCTGGGGACTGAAAGGTCCCAGGTTCGATTCCAGTCAGGGGCATGTACCTTGGTTGCGGGCACATCCCCAGTAGGGAGTGTGCAAGAGGCAGCTGGTCAATATTTCTCTCTCATCGACGTTTCTAGCTCTCTCTCTCTCTCCCTTCCTCTCTGTAAAAAAATCAATAAAATAATATATTTTAAAAAAAATTCCTGGACGGTGTCCTCTTCAATCTTAGACTTCCCTCCCTGTGAATTGGTAACAAACATTTTGCAGCGGGGCCCCAGTCTCAGCCCACACACCGAGGAGCCCTGGCAAACCACTGCTCGAGAGCCACTTGTGGCTCTTTGGCCCCTGGAGTGTGGCTCTTCCACCAAATACCACGGCCTGAGCCAGTCTATTTTGAAGAGGTGGCGTTAGAAGAAGTTTAAGTTTAAAAAATTTGGCTCTCCAAAGAAATGTCCATCGTTGTGCTGTGGATATTTGGCTCTGCTGACTGATGAGTTTGCCGAGCACTGGGCTAGGTCAGGGGGAAGAGGTGGCTTAAGTGCCTTCCCCTTTCCGGGGGAGCTCTCAGGAAGTCGGACAGCTTGATCTGGACGATGATGCCAACCACTGCCCTGTCCCCCTGGGCTTACTTCTCAGCCCAGCCCCACAGTGAGCCCTGTGCTGGGTGCGCAGCCCCGAGGTACTGAACCCCACTGTGTACAAGGGGTGCCAACAGGGAGCCAGGCCGTCCCCCACGGAGCCCTGGATGGATCAAGTACATTACACACATCACTCACCCCGCATCCTCATTGCCACCCAGGCAGCTGTGCACGGCTTCCCCGTTCTCACAGGTGAGAAAGATAGGTATCCGGATGATAAACAACTCCCTCGATGCACGCAGCCAATGAGAGATCCATCTAATCAGGCCCCTGACCCCAGAGCCGGCTTCCCCACTGCCCAGTGCGGCCTCTCCGAGGTGGCAGTCTCCCTCTCAGCCAGAGTGGACATCAAGAAAGGTCAGTCTGCCTGTGGGAACATTTTGGGGGCCCCCACAGCTGGGGAGTTGGGATTTCTGTGAGCTCATGCCACAGCATGGCATGATGGGGTGCTGCTTTTGTTTGGGAGAGCATGACACCCCCTCAAACAGCCCAGGGTGTCTCTACCTCAGGGAGAGGAATCAGAAACACACCCGTGCCGAAACCGGTTTGGCTCGGGTGGTAGAGTGTCGGTCTGTGGACTGAAAGGTCCTGGGTTCAATTCCGGTCAAGGGCATGTACCTTGGTTGCGGGCACATCCCCAGTAGGTGGTGTGCAAGAGGCAGCTGGTCGATGACTCTCTCTCATCGACGTTTCTAGCTCTCTATCTTTCTCCTTTCCTCTCTGTAAAAAATCAATAAAAATATATTTTAAAAAAAGAAAAAGAAAAAAGAAAAAAGAAACACACCCGTCCCATCTCCCCGCCCCCAATTTGTTGAGGGCATTACTCTTCCTGCTCCCTGGACCACTCTCTCCCCGATGAAGACTGTGCGGTGGGAAGAGACTGGCTGCCTCTGAAATCTACTGAGACAGCCTCATCTTATAGTAGGCCTCCAACCCTTCCTCAGAGCCTGGGTTTAAGCAGATAGAAGGGGGGGAGGGGGGGACGTAGCTTTGGGGCCAGGAGAGGGAAGCATGTTCTCTGGTGTAAGAAGCACACTGAGTGTGTGAGAGAGTAAGTATGTGTGCACGTTCATAGACGTGTGTCTGGGTGGCCCGGGGTATGAGGTGGGCCCTTCGAACTACATGTGGGGCCTCAGCTCCCACTGCACCCCGAGGGCCCCAGGATGTCCACTCCCCCGACTCAGCCAGTGGCGGGAAAGCGGGTCTGCAGATCCTGCTCCTCCTCCTGGACCTCTGCCGTGGGCTCGGGGCTTTGCAGCTCTTGGCCCCGAGTCTTGGGAAGAGATCTTGGATTTAATGAGGCTCCCAACCTGGCTCTCAACCTGCGGCCCTGATTGGAAGGGGTGCAGGGCAGGCTGGGGGCTGGGAGCGGAGGGGCTATAGACAATGCTGGCACCAGGGACTTCCTGGGTAGGCTCAAAGGGCTGGGGCACCGGAGCCACAAAACCTGGAGAGAGCCGAAGCTGGTTTGGCTCAGTGGATAGAGCGTCAGCTTGGGGACTGAAAGGTCCCAGGTTCGATTCCAGTCAAGAGCATGTATTAATACCTTGGTTGCGGGCACATCCCCAGTAGGGGGTGTGCAAGAGGCAGCTGATGGATGTTTCTCTCTCATCGATGTTTCTAACTCTCTATCTCTCTCCCTTCCTCTCTGTACAAAATCAATAAAATATATATTTTTTTAAATCCTGGAGAGAGGGCTGCCTAGGGGCTCTGAAGCCCACTGCTTTCTGGGGTCTCTGGACAGTCCCCCAGGGGCAAACACCCAGGAAGGCCTGAGCTCCCTCACTGGGAAGGAGATGAGGGAGGGCCTCTTTCCCGGTTTCCACCACGTGAGCAGGGCCTGTCTCCTGTCCCTGCGTGAAGGAGCGCGGTGGGCAGGGCCGGACGGGGTGCAGGAAGATGTCTGCTTCCAGCATCGCTCTTCACAAAACCACAGCGGTATTGGCGTCCCGGTGGCGGGCCCAGCCCAGGCTCCCCCATGTCGTCCTCTCAACACCTGCGTGTAACTCCCATCACGCAGAAGAGGAAACAGGCTCAGGAGACGGGCGGCCTGCCCCGGGCCACGCAGCTGCAGAGGTGTAGTGCTGGGAGTCACACTCTCCTTCTGACTGCACGCACCACCGTCTTCCTCTCCTCCCCAGGCCCACAGCGGGCAGAGCGCACACTCCCCCCCGGGGGTCTGGGCTGCGAGGCAGGTCTGGCAGCCAGGGAACTCCATTCCTTCCCTCCCTAGACTTCTTTTTAAAAAATATATATTTTTATTGGTTTCAGAGAGAAAGGAAGAGGGAGAGAGAGAGAGAAACATTGATGATGAGAGAGAATCATTGATTGGCTGCCTCCTGCATGCCCCCCATTGGGGATCGAGCCTGCAAGCCCAGGCATGTACCCTTGACCGGAATCAAACCCAAACCCCTTCAGTTCTCAGGCTGAAGCTCTATCCACTGAGCCAAGACAGCCAGGGCCCAGACTTCTTTAATGAGAATGCAGGCAAAGTCCCCAAACCCCTCCCCCACAAACAGGCCTCCTCCTCTCACTCTGCCAGGGGCCAGGCCTCTGCATGTTACTCCTGTCTCCCTCCTCCCTCTGGAAGCAGCTTCCCTCAGTCAAGGCCAAGAAGCGCCAGCACACCCTCCCCCTCAGTGCCTTCTTCCATGCTTGGCTCAGGGCAGAGAGCCTGGGGCAGGAGAGGGCTTTGATTGGTGAAAGAGCCAGGACATACCAGCCCTCACTTTCCTCGCCTCCTCCGGTTTTGCTGCCTATCGGCCGGGCAGATCTATTGGTCTCTAAAGCTAGAGCATTTATTTTCTGATTAAAAAAATGATAGAGACAGAGAGGATCCAAGATGGCTGCTCGGGTAAACATCTAACCGCAGCAGCACACAAC